ATAGTGACCATTTGGGAACATCCAGTGGAAGAAAACAGCTTGGTTTTTTAACATCCATCTTTGGAGCAGAGCTATATGTCAGCTAAAGAAAGTAAAGAAGGCAAGAAAATGTAAGAAATAATTTCTCATTACATGAAGATGGGCTCCGTGTTCATGCTACAAGAGAGTGGGATACTGGTCAACTGAGAAATGATTCCTTTCTCAAGAGTCATTATTCTGTGCCTTCAATGACTACTGAAATGTAGGGATGTGTGAGGAATGTTTTTTTGGAGCTGGGAATACATTGAATTCCTACAGCTTTGCTCCCTGGGCTCCAACCTGTTTCCTATTGCTATGAGTCTTACTTCCTGGCTGGAGTACAGAGCCCCAACGCTCACTGTGAAAGGGACACATAGTGCAGATCTCAAAAAGAATTGACACTGAAGTTTCTGCTTTTGCAAGGACAAATTGTTGTATGGCGTGGTTTTACGAATGAGACCAGAGACTAGTTGGAATTTTCGAGAGGGGATTTATTTACCTGCAGGGACCACACTCGTTGGAGTGTGGTCCCGAGCAGAAGAATGCAGCTTTTTTATACTCTTTTACAACTATGCAGGTGCTTGAATAACAGCAAACAATAGGGGAACCCCACTGAGCTACATTTGCACATTTTTCATGCTGAAGCAAGCAAGCGAGGGTACAAGGGCATGACATCTGCGGTTATGCTTGAGCGTAGCCTGCTTTTTCATCCTTGCGTAACGTGCACATTCATTGGGGGTTCTTGTTCTTGTTCTTATGCGCACAGGACACCCTGATCATGCTTTTTACCCGTGATGAGCCATGCCCTGGCTGCATGTTTCGATTATGGGGGGGGGGGTTACAACACAAATGAATACTTAAGATGGATTTCCTTGCGCAGCATGTCCTTTCTACATCAGCTTTTTCAACCATGCTTCTTGATGTCTCTTTCCATCAACAAAGAAATTAATGACAACAGAAGTCAGAACCCTCTTTCATGTTTCAGGCACACACCTTACCTGGGGGGACTTATAAATTCTCAGAACATTTCCC